GCTCTGGTCTTGTGTTTTTTATTTATTGTATTTCATATATTAATATTATGTTGTTGGGGTAAAGGTGGTGTGTTTAAGCCTGGCCCTTGCTATGCATCCTTATTTAAAATTCAGATCTGTTTTTCATCTCTCCACAACTCATATCTCAAATAGGAACTTGGAGAGGGCTGAATGGGATACTTATAGATTATAGAAAATCTGCCACAGATCCTTCTTTATAGTAGCTGCTTGATAAATGGCAACAAATAGTAATTCCCAGCTCTTCTTGTTTGCAAGCCAGCTCTTCTTCTTCCTTATATGGTTCCTCCCAATAGGATGTTTCAGTGCCTAAATTCCAAGTCACGGTGGAAAGACTCTAGGTGGCTCCTGTTATCCTTGCCTTCATTTTCAGCTCTTGTGGGATGCTTTCTCCTGGAGTATAGGTGGGATCAGTGACATACTTTTAACCAATAGAATTTGGTAAAGATGGAATGTACATGATTAGATGCACATGATTATGTTACATATGATTGTAACATTGATCTTGCAAGGAAACTCTCTCCCTTTCAGTCTTTGAGGAAGAAAGAAGCCATTTTGGGAAGACTCACATGGCAAGAACTGATGGCAATCTATGACCAACAGCTGGCAAGAAACAGAGGCCATCTGTCTAGTAGCCTGCAAAGTAATGAGTATTGCCAACAAACTTGGAAGTGGGTCCTTCCCCATTTGAACCTTGGATAAAATCACAGCTCTGGCTGACACAGTGAAGATTGCAGCCTTGTGAGACCCCAGGCATAGAACTCATCTAAAGTGTGCCCAGACACTTGATATGCAGGGGCATTGAGATAATAGATATGTATTATTTTAAGCAGCTAAATTCTGGTAATATTGTTATGTGGCAATAAGTAACTAATACAGATCTTCATTCCTGCACATAATAATTTTAATATTCTGAGAACAGAGTTATAAAAGATTTTGCAATCTTTAATTTCTGGAAAAATAACAGTTTACTATTTTACTAAAGGTGATGTTGAAAATAGTTCTCAAAGTCAAAGCAGATAATTTTCATCATTCTGTAGAATAATAAATGTTGCTGAATATACTGTTTTTATACTTTCCTATTAAAATTCAAGAGTTATTATATATGATGTTGGGAATATGTGTCAGTGGAGATTCTGTCTAAAGGTTTAGTTTTAATTGTGGTAAAATATGATATTAAATTTGCTATCTTAACCATCTTAAGTGGTGCAATCATCTGAATTTGAAACTCTACCCATTAAACAAAAACACTTTCCTTCCTTCTACTCCCTGTTCTACTTTATGTTTCTACAAATTCTACTTTATGTTTCTACAAATTCACTACTTTAGATAATTCATATAAGAGGAATCACACCAGGTTTTTGTTGTTGTTTGTGACACTGGGAATTGAACGAAATGTGCTCTACTGAGCTGTATCCCCAGCTCTTTTTATTTTTATTTTTTTTATTTTGAGAAAGGGTCTCCCTAAGTTGCTCAGGCTGGCTTGGATCCTTTGATCATCCTACCTCAGACTCCCAAGTAGCTGAGATTACAGGTGTGCACCACTACACCCTGCAAAGTAGTTGTTTTTCAGTGATGGGTTTATTTCACTTAACATAATGTCCTCAAAATTTATCCACATTGTTACCACATGACAGGATTTCCTTCCTTTTTTAGGGCTGTTTTTCATTATGAAATATTTTAACTATAAAGAAAGAATACTTGAAGTATTTTATAATTAGTGAGAAAAGCTAATTATAAGCCAGGCTCCCAGCTACTCAGAAGCCTGAGGCAGGAGCATCAGCAAACTCAAGGCCAGCCTGAGTGATTTAGGGAAACCCTGTCTCAAAATAAAATATGAAGAGCTAGGTATGTATCTCAGTGGTAGAGCACTGGTCTAGCAAGCATGAAGCCCTAAGGGTTCAATCTCCAGCACCCCCACCAAAGCTAATTATAAAGTACTTGAACCTCCTTTTGACTTGGGAATATATAAGTTAAGATAATAGGACATTATGAATAGACACATAACAGTAGAAAAATTAAGTGATTTCTTTTTTTCAATTCTTTGATTGGAATTTCTATACAAATATTTGTGGAGATATAAAACATAAAATATCCAAAACAGATGTTATCATTGATAATTTATTAAAGAATTAATTTATACTGTTTCCATATAGTACCTGCTCAACTACTAATAAAATAGATCTCTTTATAATTATATAAAAATATAGTTGCGTGGAAAACAGGAAAAGATAATATTTTATAAGACAATATTTTTGAGATAAACATATGGGAAGTTATAAAATCTAGGATCCATTCCTAGTATTAACATATAAATTCAAAATTAACATCATGAGAAACAACTACTTATTATAATATAGTAAAAAACATATTGAGCATAAAGTCAAAATGACTGACTTTTTTAGAGTAGAGTGCTCGCCTGGCATGTGTGAGGCACTGGGTTTGATCCTCAGCACCAAATAAAAGTAACTAAAATAAAGGTATTTTTCTTTAAAAGTCAAAATGATCTGATAACACAAGGACTTGTCATTTAACATTTTAAATTATAAACCTCATTGTACTTAAAGCTATAGTCATCTCATTGAGCAAATACAGAAGAGAATTTAATTGCAAATTCTTCTACTTTTCTGTTTCTTGAAAGCCATCTCATTTTCCCTTACTATACTTCTGTTATGGTTTAGATATGAGGTGTCCCCCAAAAGCTCAAGTGAGACAATGCAACAAGGTTTAGGAATAAATTGTTGGGTTATAAAAGCCTTCTGAGAGCCATTAGCCAAGTAGGTATGATAATTTCCTTGCCAGCGTACCCCATGTTGCTTAGAGGAAGGACTCGTGGAAATGGACTTGCCTTGGACATTTGTAGTGACATTGCATGTATGCTTGAGTAAGGTGACCTTGCTCAAGGACCAGGGCGGATCCGGGTTTAGGGTGGATCAGGTTTTAGGGAGTATCCCGCTCCTTGGGTTTAGGGCGGTTCCAGGTTTACGGTGTACCCTGCCAGGAATAGGGCGTATCCTGCTGATTAGAGCCTGGTGGAGTACGTGGATTTTGCCCAGAACGTGATTTCCCCAGAAGGTGTATAGAGTGCTGGTTTGAGTTCAGGAATAAAGAATTGCTGTTTGAATCTACAAGGTGTGAGTGGCTCTTGATTTTGTGCCCAGCCAGACTGCGACAAAAGCCTTAAGCCAATCAGTGAATTAATCCCATTATAGGGACTAACTTGATGATAACTGTAGGTAGATAGGGTGTGGCTGGAGGAGGTGGGTCCCTTTGGGTTTTATATTTTGTCCTTGATAGGCAGAGCGCGCGCGCTCTCTCTCTCTCTCTCTCTCTCTCTCTCTCTCTCTCTCTCTCTCTCTCTCTCTCTCTCTCTCTCTCTCCCTCCCTCCCTCCCTCCCTCCCTCCCTCCTTCTGCTTCTTGGTGCAATGTCCTGAGCCTCTCTCTTCCACCACAGTCTTGAGCCATGATGTTCTACCTTACCTTGAACTCTGAGGAATGGAAACAGCCTTCTAAGGACTGAGATCTCTGAAACCATGAGCCCCAAATCAACTTTTCCTCCTCTAATTGTTCTTGTCAGGTCTTTGGTTGGAGCAACAAAAAATCTGAAACATTTCTTCTTAAAACAACTTCTTTGCTTTCAAATGGGAGCATATGAAAATTTTATTTCTGAAGGAACTAAATCAGGTTCTTGGATTAGTATAAAAATATACATATTCAATAAAAATTGATATATTAGAAGATAAACCAGGTAGGTGTGAAGTCCTGTAATTTTATGATTGGGTTTTTATTGTTTATTGGATCAATTTATTTTTATTTTGACTTCCTATTTAGCTTCTAGTCTGATAAAGTATAGTTATGCAAATTTAGTATGTAGACTACCAATTAGCTGAAGGAATAATTGATTATTATACTGTGTACAGATCAAACTACATGTAATTTTTCCAATTTTCATAAATTGTCTTACAATCTTTAAAGAGTCTCCATAGAACTTTTAGAAATTATTTCAGCCATATCTTAAAAACATTTGGTTCATGATTATACTGTCCAACTAAAGTACACTCTTTAAAAATAAAATGTGTTATTTAGCAGGCAGCTGGCAACATGGCCATTTATGTGTTTTTATTTAAAGTAAAAATGCAAGACATTCTCTAAGGTGGCCTCCTCTGCACTCAAAACTTTTAGTCTTTGAAAAATGTATGAGTACTTTCCTTTGGAAATCATGTAGCCTACACATATTTTATAAAAATCACAGAATGTGGGAGCATGGACAGTTTATTATGTATCTGAGAACATCAGAAGTTATGATGTTTGATGTCATATGGTCTAAAGTAGGCCATGATCTAAGGCTTCTCTCAGACATCCGGAAGAATGCTCAACCATCTAATTGTCTTTGTTATCTTCTTTCAATGGCAACCATTTAATCAGCTATGCTTATTGTCTACCCCACTCAATGAATAACATTGAAGCAGGAATATGGGGAGTTTTAAAGGGAACTTCATATTGTATTTATGACCTCAATGTCTTTATAATCTAACATCCGGCTCTGCTAGGAAGGATATAACAAATACTATAATTGTACTTGGCAGAGAGGACAGTAGAACATATTCTACTTCTTTAGCATGGGGTGTGTGTGTGTGTGTGTGTGTGTGAGAGAGAGAGAGAGAGAGAGAGAGAGAGAGAGAGAGAGAGAGAGAGAATGTCAATATAATGGAAATAAAAAGTAACAGACATTATGAATTATGAATTGTGGGGCAGAGGCTGTCAGAATGACCTTTGAGCATAATTTAGGGAGAAAGGAGGTTTCTGGGTGAGAAAAATTGTAACTATATGGCTTGAGCCAAAAGGATGGCAGCAGTTGCCTGACTGAAGCCTTTTGTATAGGACTCAAAAGCATTGGTGCTGGAATTGGAATTACATTCAGGAACTAGACTGAAAATCACCATAGAAGAAACATAACTAAAGTTAACAGTTCAGGGAAAAATGTTTTTTTTTGTGTGTGTGTGTGTGTGTGTGGCTGTGGTAAAGATAAATTGGATAAAGAAGAGGTTATGTGGGTAGTGAGGCTGGTCCAATGCTGGATATTAAAGGCAATTAAGACCTGGACTTGGGATACAGCTACAAAACTAAATTGAAATTTTCAGATGAGTCCCAGGGGTCTATGTGACTCCATTCATCTTAACATCCAAATGTTGTATTAAAAAATCCTTAGGGAAAAATTTCCTAACATTTTGCCTGTTGTCATAGATACTTCGAGACTGAAAGGAGGAAAATGATTCAAAGGGAACACGAGATGGCAGCAGTTTTATCATATAAAGAGAAAGATTGGGGGGAAAACATTCAAAATTATTTTTTAAATAAAAATATGGAGCACTTTATTCTTTATGTATTGTATTCTTTTTCAGTACAGAGATTACTCAGTCATTGGTTTCATGCTTCAGAACACATCTAAGGTTCATTCTGACTATGGTAAAAACCCTACTCCATTACATGTGATTGTTTCCTAAAATAAAGCTGTTGCCATTTCCTGTGGATTACTGTTCATCCGTGTTATCTGAGGCAGAAGAGTCCTGTATGGTGCAAATTCTTTTTAAGTTTTCCAGCATCGCTTTTTCTTCCTCTTCCAGTGTTTCATCCTTCCTCATTTCCCACCTAAAAGAAAAATCACATCTTAGTATTTTCATAACTTCCAGGCTCTAGTCAGTTATTCAGGATTTAAATATGTAGTCCCTGGCTACAGAGGCCTTGGTTTCTTCTTGTTTATTCTTTACCCACTGCCTCTTGGGTGACACAGTTCATTGGCACTGCTTCTGCAGAGTGGGCCAGGAGAAGGGAAGAGGAAAACAGCTGATTTCTAGAATTCCTCTAAGAGTAAGTTTCAAAGTAATGTTTCAAATGAGGTTTCTGTATTTCCTAGATTTTAAAAATGTATATAGTATTTTTCCCTCAGTGAGGAACATTTCAGTGGTTTTTAATTTGCAAGGAGGTTTGCCAGGAAGACATTGGCAGCAAAAACGTGAAGATAAAACTGGATCTACATTAAGGGCAGGTCAATCTATTCATAGAAATAAGATCAGATTTAGAGTAATCATGTTAAATCACCCAAGAAGAATAACAAATTGTCAGCAAGGCTTCATAGAACATTGACCAAAAAAAAAAGAGGTTTAACGATTTTCTAATTCTGAATGATTAGAAAAGACAGAACAAAATATTAGAATCTGGAACTATATATGTATATAAATTCAAAGTGTAAATATAATTACAGTAATCCAAGCATACTTAATCTTTTTTTCCCCTCCTTCCTGTCTCTTGTGCCACCTTTCCAGGACTTATCAGGGAATACCAAAAGAACACTGTGTTCCTTCCAATAGGGAATCATTTGTGTGCACTTCCTTTATCCTTTCCTCATTCCTATTTCTCCCATCCCTTAAGCCATCTACTGTGATATAGTGCCACAAAAAAATTAAAAGTCAATGTTTATATATCCCAAAAGACCCTTTGATATAAGACCCTCTGATATCCCACTGATATAAAGACTTCAGTGGGATAGGACTTCTAACAACAAACAAGTATACTCAATGCCTCCAGAAGCCCCTTGCTGCATTATAGTCAGAACTCCTGGATAACAAAAGGACAGTCATATGTGAGCAAAGCATACTGAGTTTAGGGTGAGCTTTTTGGGTTTTGTCTGAACATCAAAAAGAAAGCATGGTCCCTATACTTCCCACAGAAACATCTTAAGAGGATGCCTACTCCTAAACAAGTGTTCTTGTTGGAGTGCTGGGTTCAGTATTATCTGACCAATTCCAGGCAGTGGTATACATAAAAGAGAAGACAAAGTGGAAGTGTGAAGGATTAATTAGATTATTACATCTGGTTTAAATTTACATTTCTTCTTTACTCTCTGCCCAGTATTCTCTTCACCTCCTAGCTCCAACACATATAGATCTAAAAACTGCTATTTCAGGTCTCCATAGTTTATCTATTTCCATAATGTTGAAGTTGGGTCATTGGTCGTTCAGGTTTTAATAGCAACTTGAAGGATAGAGAATTTTCAGTATCACACTGTTCAAAACCACATCACATGAGAAAATATTCCTAAAATTAGTATTTTGGTAGTTACAATTTAGTCTACAAGATTACCTTGTACTGAATTTGTGGAATTTTAATGATAAACACCTCTCACTACCCATTTCATACAGGTGAACTTGGGTATCATTATTATGCATGTGAAATTGAACTGCCACACAAGCAAATAAATAATGGAAAATACTTTATAGAGCACTAATTACAGGTTAGGCATTGTTTTGTATTTTTACTTTTGTTTATTTTTGGTCCTGGGGAATTAACTCAGGGGTGTTTTACCACTGAGCTTCATCCCAAGACCTTTTTATTTCTTCTTGCTAAGTTGCTTAGGACCTTGCTAAATTGCTGAGGCTGGCCTTGAACTTTCGACTCTCCTGGTCCCAGCCTCCTGAGTTGCTGGGATTACCTACAGGCACAACTAAAACTTTTTTGTACATTGTAGTTATATATAATAGTATGGTTTATTTTGACACATTCATAAATGCATCTCATATAGTTTTTTCCATTTCATTTTTCAATAAACACTTGATGTAGCACTCTTTAAATTCTCATTACATAATGCTACTATACCAGTTTCATCAATTAGTCAATTGAGATACTCTCTTGCCCAAATGTCTTTTGATATAAACTTGGAGTCTGTGCTTGGAAATGCAATATCCTGGATTAAAACCATTTTACAGGGCTGGGGTTGTAGCTCAGTGGTAGAGCGCTTGCCTAACTCATGATGTGAGGCACTAGGTTTGATCCTCAGCTCTACATTAAATAAATAAAGGTATTTTAAAAACCCACTTTACCAGTAGTATTCATTGATGTTAAAATACTATAAATTTAATTTTCTGAAAAATGTCTCCTGTATTATGTTAGATAGTAAATAAAAAAACTATCTAAGGATCATTCACTCTTATAAAAAATTGGAACAGGAGGAAATATATTTATTTCTTTTCCTCTCATGCTAATATTGTCTGAGTAAATGAATTATTTTATGAATGTCAACATAAAAAATATGTACTATGCACATAAATATTTTGATCATTGTCTCTACCTGTGAAAATTGAAAGCAGTCTCTTTGCTTCATTAAAAATCTGTATAATTAATGTAATCTAAATGAATTGTATACATAATAGAATCCATGATAAGGATTTTGAAGCTTCATGACAATTATGGGCCCTTCACAGCATAATTGAGCTGTTAGTAATTGATATTAGGCAAAGTTCTTTACCTACCCCAACCTTCTTATATTTGTTTTCTGTTTATTAAGAACTTATTTCATAAGAAGGTAAGAAATACTGACAAAGATAGGTGAAAACATAATATTAGAACTATGTTTTCCCTGGTAATTTTACTCTTATTGAATAAAAGCATTAGAAATTTAGAATGTATGGTTACTGCAAGCATTGTTAAAGTTTCACACTTGTAAGTTGTTAAGTTTATCTCTAATCGTTAACATAACATAAAAAATTGATTTAAAAAAATACTAATGGGAGAGAAAATAATCCACCAATTTGTTAAACACAATTGAATGGGCAATGTGTTCCAAATCTTTATACCTAGTTTCCACTAATATATTTAATATCTATGATGGAAGCAGTCACTACAGAAACCAGGAAATGTCAGAACCAGAAGACTCTAGATCTCCTGGAAAACACTATAAAGTGATTATATCTTTGTTTTTCTGACTTTGGTAGCCTGTCTTTTGCAGTACTGCTAAGTTTTCCACCTGCTTACTAGGCTAAGACTATGGTTACATTTTCCTGGCAGTTCTTAACTGGGTCAAGACTGCCTTAATGAGGGCTCTTAAGGTGGTAAGAAAGTGTGGAGGGCATTTTCTGCTCATAGTAGAGAATCCTACTATGATCCAGGGAAAAGGGATGGCAAACTTCTTTAACATGAAGCAATCCCACACAATGAAGACTTGTCTTCCCAAACTGTCAATAGTATTACCTCTGAGAATCATTTGCTCTAGAAAATCCAAATGATTTAGAGTAGTAATGAGAACATTAAAATAGTAACAATCCCTATAAACTTCCTTATTTCAATTTTTAAAAAATAGTTTTTAGTTGTCAATGTACCTTTTTTTAAATTTATATGTGGTGTTGAGAATCAAACCCAGTACCCCACACATGCTAGGCAAGCGCTCTACAACTAAACTACAACCCCAGCCCCCTTCTTGCATTGTAAATGGTTTCCTTGTTCACTGCCTAGAATACTGTTTGCTGTAGGAGTTTAGGAATCAGGGTACAGCTGGATTTGAAGCTCTTATCAGCTGTGTGGTCTTGGGAAAGTCAGATAAAACTGTGCCTCAGTTTCCTTATAGAATAAGACTGATAATAATTCCTGCTTCATAGAGCTGCAATGAGGAGAAATAGCTAAGCACATATAAAACATAAAACAACACCTGTTTCAAAGCAAACACTCAATGAATGAAAACTATTATCATCATTTTATATAAGTTAGATAAAGTTAAGATAATATTGACATATTAATATAAACTCTCTCTCTCTCTCTCTCTATATATATATATTTGATTTCTGTCTATATATACCAGATATCTATCTATACATCTACATCTAGTATATCTCTATCTATCTATCTATCTATCTATCTATCTATCTATCTATCTATCTATCTATAGAGAGATATCAGTTAAAGTTAAGAGAAAACATAGCTGTAACAGGCTAAAAAAGACAGGGGATTATATTTCTTGTATCATAAGCAATCTGGAGGTGAATGACTACTGGCATTGGGTAAGGAGCTTGATAATGGCAGGACTGATGACTCTTTTGTTTTTTATGTTATGGTTGTCTTCAAGGTGGTTGTTGCCACTTCAACCACCACATCGTTATTCTGAGGCAGGAAGAAGGAAGGATGCATCTATCACATTTTATCAAGGTAATAATACCTTTTCCAGATTCCTTCTAGCAGGTATTGGAGCCATACTGTTTAGGCCTGAATTCTGACTGCCTCTTACCAGCTGTATGATATTTTACAAGTTTATTTATTTGTGCAACAGTATTCTCATGTGCAAAATAGTGGATACTGGCAAAATGCATCTCAACCCATTGTTAGAAAGAGTGAGTGAATTATGAATATCAAATGCTTCATAAAATGTTACAATTATTTTATTAGATTCTCTTTGTAGGGAGTAGTTTCCTTAGAGCTCCTATCTTGATGTTTTTTTCTCCAGTTCTGTGCACTTCACATTATTTTATCTGAAAAATTCTCTTAGAAGTATAAAATGGAGTTGCTAAGTTTTCTTATGGATTCACTCACTGCCTTCCTGTTCAATTTTACCTATATATGACTGTGTGGTAATTCTCTCTAGCTTTCATGAAGGAGATGTTTTATGATAATCCACCCCATTTTCAGCCTAACATGGCTAAAGTTGTTTCTGTTTTCCTATAATCCCTTTGCTGTATTTTAAAAATATAGTCATAATGATGGGCATCTCATTCTGAAACACCAATAAAATACTTTATAAAAATGTTACTTGATATAAGCCTCCAGATTTAATGTGATTATTAAACATTTATGTAGCACTTTATATTTACAAAGTGCTTTACAATTAT